CATTTGGAGAAAAAAAAAGGGGGAGGGGACCAGGTTTGCTGGTCTGATAGAGCCTGGTGGAACCACTGAGACTATGGCCCCTAACTGCCCTTCAGGTCTGGAATTGAACCCATACCTGTGGTTTCCAGCCAAACAGAAGACAGGCATATGAGCTGAACACTTACCTGAGGTAGATACACTCCTTGGAGAGAACAATCATTGAGAAAGAATGGCTGCCTATGCCCAGGGAGACAGCTTAGGGGGCAGGAGTCCATGGAGGGATAGACACTGGGAAGAGGTAACTATGGGGAGGAAGTGGGAGGGGAGCTGTTGCATTGTGGTAAACTGTGGTCAATGTCATGAGGACAAAGTATATGTAAACTGCTACACGGAAAGTGAATTTGCTCTGTAAATCTTCACCCAAATCACAATAATAATAAAAACACACACACACACACACTCAATTAAAAAAAAATAAATAAAGAGGTGAGTTGAACTGAAGCCTAATCTACATCCTCTTCACTGTTATCCCCAACCCTAGTTGGAAACAGGTGTATTGGTATGTTAATGACTTTCCTTAAAATGTTTTTTTTTTTTTCAGAAAACAACCAATACCAACTTGAAATCAATTTTGGCACATGGACATGGGCACTGAGGCAAAGGGGAACAAAGTTGCTAGGAACTGACATCCTCCCCTCTGCCCAAGTCTGGAACAGCTGATGACAGGAAGGTGGTATGACTCATCTGGTGTGCAAGCGCACTGCATTAAAAACTGACTGTCCCTTTAAACCAAAGCAAAGGAAGCCTCGGCTAATCTCCAGTTAATTCATGTCCAAATTCCTGAAATTTTGATGAATATGTATAAGTACCTCTCTGGAACTTAACAAAAACTGTCTCCCAATCTCCACTCAGGAAGTCAGGTTTGGGTACTGACCCCTGTCTCCTTCCATTGTTGCTTTGCAATAAATAATTTTCTCTCCTTTTAATCACTGGTGTGTAAACTAGTTTGGCCTGATCGCGCACAGGGCAGAGACCCACATTCAGTCTGCCTTCAAAGTGACAGTTTGCACTGTCCGACAGAAACATACAAAATAGAGATACTCAGGACAAGGAGGGATTTGGCCTAGACCTTACCCAGAAGTTTCAGTCATATCAAGAGCCTTTGTTTGCCATGAAGCTCTTTTTCACACACTTGGCTGCTAATCCAAAGACTGGTGATTCAAGTCTATTCAGAGTACCTCAGAAGAAAGGCCTGGCTACCTATGTCCAAAAATCAGTCATTGAAAACCCTATGGAGCACAGTTCTACCCTGACACACATTAAGTCATCATGAGTCTGAATCTATTGGATGCAACTGGTGGTGGTGGTGCATTATCCTGTCTAAAATACTCAGGGCCTCCAATTTTTTCTGCTCTGCCACGCAGGCAAGGCGTCTCTCTCATGCGGATAGACAACGCAGAGCCAAAGAGTCCCACCAGAGGGCGCCGAGGCGATGACCACTTAGGTTTCAATAGCACTCCCACTGGTCTTTCTCTGGTTTTATTTTTTAAAACTGTCATCTCCCTTGTATTTAAATTGAGGTACTACTCTGGGGACTATGCTCTGGATAAAGGAGGCTGTCCTCCACCTGGTTTCCTCAACTACCTGCTAAAACTCACAAAGGTGCCTCCTCAGAAACCATTACTTCCACATATCGTAAAACAACCCAGCAAGAAGAAGAAAAAAGAAAAAACCAAACAACCTTGAGGCGGAAAGGGCACCAATAAAGCCTAGTCCTCAGCGCAATCACTGTCACTTCCCTGGACTCCACGGGTACCCCGCAACAGCACTGCGAGCAGGCCTGAGCCGGGAGGAGGCCTCGGCGTCTGTGGTCCCGCAAGTCCTGTCCGTCGTCCTCGCGCCCGAAGACGATGAGACCTGGACTCGACCCACCTGGTGCGCCTGGAAGAGACGGCAGCTGCAGCAACGTAGGACCCGCACCGGCTGAGGCGGCGCCATCGCGTCTTCCGAGCCCGCCAATGCCAAGGCCCCGCCCCTCCGCGCTCTCGGCTCCGGCCCGCCCCGCCCCTCCTACTCAGCGCCGGGCCTTTCTCGCTCTCAGACCCCCTCAGTGGTCCGCTGGGCGCTTTCCACAGCGGGAAAGTTCAGTCCCTCTGCACACGTGCTAAATTGGGTGTGGTCGTGGGTTCAGGTCGGCCAGGGTTTGTTGTCACACTCGCTGTGTGTGAACATGGGACATTACCCGTTTCTTTCTAAGCAGACGTTTACTCTTGGGTTGGACCATTGTTCCCTCCGCTTCTCTTTTCAGTCCCTCAGGAAGAAGGAAGGCCTCCGTCCTGGCCACGCCCTGGGACCTGGCATTGGAATTGGCAGGACACCTGGGCAAAGGTGGTAAATTAGGTTTGAGTCAGAACTCGGAGATCCGACCATTTGAGGAAACTCTTGAGCTCATCAGTCCTATGCTTCCGGAGAGGGAGGAACCTGGAAAGGAACAGTCAATTCTTCCTGCCTCCCCACTCTGTAAGGTGGAGGAAGGAGGAATATCGCTCTTATTATCTCAACTGCCCAGGGCCGGGACCCTAGCACCTTAGTCCTCAAGGAAACATTTTTGCTCTTTCAGCACTTCAAAAGTCTTTTGTGGCCAATTTGCCCAGTGCTATATATAGTCTGATATCTTGACCGCTGCTTCCATTGGCCTTGATTGTAGAACCAAGTAATATGAAGTTTTTGACAACTTCAATCTTTTCTCCATTTATCATGATGCTGCTTATTGGTCCAGTTGTGAGGATTTTTTGTTTTCTTTATATTGAGGTGTAATTCATACTGTGGAGGCTGGCTGTTCAAACCCACCAGCCACTCCTTGGAAGGAAGGTTGGGCAATCTACTTCCATAGTGATATTGCCTCGGAAACCCAAGGAGGGGTCGCTATGCGTTGGGTCCAACTCCATGGCAAACAACAACAACAATCCATACTGCATACTGTATTCTTAATCTTCATCAGTAGGTGTTTCAAGTCATTTTCATTCTCTGCAAGCAAAGTTGTGTCGTCAGTGTATTGCAGGTTGTTAATGAATCTTCCTCCAATCCTGATGCCACGTTCTTCTTCATATAGCCCAGCTTCTCGGATTATCTGCTCAGGGTAGAAATTGAGTAAGTATGGTGAAAGGATACAACCCTGAGACACTCCCTTCTCGATTTTAAACCATGCAGTGTCCCCTTGTTCTGTTGCAAGGGCAGCCTCCTGGTCTATGTACTGGTTCTTCACAAGTACAATTAAGTGTTCTGGAATTCCCAGTCTTCTCGATGTTATTCACAATTTGTTATGATACACATAATCAAATGCTTTTGCATAGTCAATAAAACTTAAGTAAACATCTTTCTGGTATTCTTTGCTTTGAGCCAAGATCCATCTGACATCAGCAATGATATCCCTTGTTCCATGTCCTCTTCTGAATCCAGCCTGCATTTCTGGAAGTTCTCTGTCAATATACTGCTGCAACCATTTTTCAATTATTTTCAGTAAGATTTTACTTGCGTGTGATATTAATGAGATTGTTTGATAATTTCCACATTCTGTTGGATCACCTTTCTTTGGAATGGGTAGAAATATGGATCTCTTTCAGTCAGTTGGCCAGGTAGCTGTCTTCCAAAGCTCCTGGCATAGCCGAGTGAGGGCCTTCAGCATGGCTTCAGTTTGTTGAAACATCTCAATGGGTATCCCGTCAATTCTTGCAGCCTTGTTTTTCTCCACTTCCTTCAGTGCAGCCTCAACTTCTTCCTTCAATACCATTGGCACCTCCTGAAATGGATGAACATTGACCAACTCTTTTTTTGGTACAGTGACTCTGTGTGTTCCTTCCATCTTATCTTGATGTTTCCTGCATCATTCAATATTTTGCCCATAGAATCTTTCAATAGTGCAACTTGAGGCTTAAATTATTTCTTTAGTTTGTTCAGCTTGAGAAATGCCAAGAGTGTTCTTCCATTTTGGTTTTCTAACTCCATGTCTTTGCACATTTCATTATAATTGGCTTTGTCTTCTTGAACTGCTCTCTGAAATCGTTTGTTCAGCTCTTTTATCTTGTCAATTCTTCATTTGCTTTAGTTACTCTCTGTTCAAGGGCAAGTTTCAGAGTCTCTTCTGATGTGTATTTTGGTCTTTTCCTTTCCTGTCTTTTTAATGACCTTTTGCTTTCTTCATGGATGATGATGTTCTTAATGTTATCTCACAATTCTGGTTTTCAGTCATTAGTGTTCAATGCATCAAATCTATTCTTTAGGTGGTCTCTAAATTCAGGAGGGATACAATCAAGGTCTTATTTCAGCCCTTGTGGACTTGTTTTAATTGTCTTCAAGTTGAACTTGCATATGAGCAATTGATGGTCTGTTCCACAATCAGCTTCTGGTCTTATTTTGGCTGAACATATTGAACTTCTTCATCACAGATGAAGTCAATCAGAGGTAGTCAATCTGATTCCATTGGGTGAAGGCCACGTATATAGCCGCTGTTTGTGTTGTTGAAAAAAGGTATTTGCAATGAGTAAGTCGTTGGTCTTGCAAAATTCTAATCATGCAATCTCCAATGTTATTTCTATCACTCAGGACAAACTGATAGCCAAGTTTGTCTCCCTTAGCTGTTCCAAACCTCTCCGCCTACTTCCTGGCCTTTCCCTACCTGTTCCAGCTGTCAGTCCTTTAGGAGGCTTCCTGCCTGGGTGGGTTCTCTCCCTCCCTCCCCTTACCTGGATTGGGGATATGATCCCTGGCTTCTTCTGGGCTTTGGTCTTAATTATTCATTGTCCAACTTTTGTATGCATATGAGAAACCATACTATGGCTTGGGTCAGGCAAACCTTAGTCCTCAAAATGACATACTTGCTTTTTAACATTAAATAGGTCCTTTGCACTAGATTTGCCCAAGACAATTTATTTTTGATTTCTTGACTGTCGCTTTCATGGGTCTTAATTATGGATCCAAGTAAAATGAAATCCCTGACCACTTCAGTCTTTTCTTGGTTTATCATGATGTTGTTTATTTATTGGTCCAGTTGTGAGGTTTTGTTTTTTTTTAAACTTTATTTGAGGTGTATTTCATACTAATAGGCTGTAGTCTTTAATCTTTACCAGTAAATACTTCAAGTTATATTCACTTTCAGCAAGCAAAGTTGTGTCATCTGTGTATCACAGGTTGTTAATGTGACTTCCTCCACTCCTGCCACGTTC